TTCCATTTATGTAATTCAAACCCTCCTTTTGCTAATAATCCAATTAACTCTTTCTTTAATTTTACGATTTCATTTTCTGTATTTGCAGCCGTTAATAGATCGTCCATATAGAAATCGTTATGAACTACTTCCGCCACTTTAGGATAATTTTCCCTTTCGATTTCTGCTAATCTTTGTAAACATTTGACTGCTAGAAAAGAGGCAGGCTTTGTACCATAGGTGACAGTTAATAATTAAAATTCTTCTATTTCGGAGCAAGAATTTTCTCGCCACAAAATGCTTTGCAATGTTGTCTGTTCCTCATGTATCAATATCTGTCTATACATTTTTGTGACATCGGCGCACAGAACATATCTGAAACATCGAAACTTTATAAGTAAATTGAACAGATCTGCTTGTATTACTGGTCCTTTATATAAGGCGTCGTTTAATGATTTCCCCATGGAGTATCGGCTAGATGCATCGAAAACTACTCTAGTCTTTGTGGTTTTACGGTCTGCCTTTATAACAGCGTGATGTGGTAGGAAAACCCTTAACTTGGTTTCCTCTTGCTTATCTACTCGCTTCATATGTCCTAAATGAAGGTATTCTTGCATAAATTTTATATAGTCCTTTCTAAACTCCGGATCTTTAGCGAACCTTTTCTCTAAACTCAAAATTCTCTTTAACGCTACCTCTCTCGAATTGTGTAATAAACTTATGATTTCTTCCTTGACCGATGATTTCTTCTAACTTTACTACGAATCTGCCATCTAATTTGCGACTATAAGTCTCATTGAAAGTCTCGCTTGCCACAATAATCCTCTTCGGGTTCCTTAAGTTTTCCTTTCGGAATATTTTCTATCTCCCAAAACCTACGCATTGTTTCAGTTAATTCTTCGGTTACGCTTAAATTGCAACTCGTTCGCGTTATGTTCTTTATGTTAGAACCTCCAATGGATCCTGTCACCAACCATCCTAACAATGACTTTTGTAGTACGGGTTTATGCTTCCCTAACTTTATTTGACCAACACAAATTATTAGGTGGTAAACTTAGTTCCTGCGGCTCACAGTTAGATGACGTTAGTTGTAGGTGTAATTTATTTTGACATCTGAAACTGGCTGCATTTTAGAGGTTAGACATTTGTCAATAAAATTCAGTGCGAAGAGATTCATTTAAGCGAGCAGTGCTATTTTTTCTTTTGATTAAATATGGAACGTGATAAGTTGTTTTTTCGACATGTGCTGCTTCATTACTTTGACTTGAAAAAAACTGCAGCTGCAGCTCATAAATTGCTTTTCGAAGCTTATGGCAATTATGCTCCATCGGAAAGAACATGCCAAGTATGGTTTCAGCGATTTAAGAGTGGTGATTTTGATGTCAATGATAAAGAACGCTCAGGCCAACCGAAAAAGTTTGAAGACACCGATTTGCAGGCATTATTGGACGAAAACTCTACTCAAACGCTCCAAGAATTGTCTGCAGCATTAAATGTTACTCCGATGGCTGTTTCCAAACGTCTACATGCAATGGGAAAAATTCAAAAGGAGGGAAAATGGGTACCACACGAATTAACCGCAAATGCCATTGCGAATCGCTTAAACATCTCTATTTCTCTGCTCGCCAGGCAGAAAAAGAAGAGTTTTTTGTGGCGCATAGTGACTGGCGATGAAAAATGGATATACTTCGATAATCCTAAACGAAGAAAATCATGGGTAGACCCTGGCCAACCATCGACATCCACACCAAAGAGAAATATTCATGGCCACAAAGCAATGCTTTGCATTTGGTGGGATATGCACGGCGTCGTTTATTATGAGCTACTCAGACCGAACGAAAGTATCACGGGGGATCGATATCAATCACAATTAAACCGTCTGAATGAAGCATTGTTGGAAAAAAGGCCAGCAGTAGCCAGCAATCGACGTAAAGTCATGCTTTTGCACGACAACGCTCGACCACAAGTTGCCAAAGCCGTCAAAGAAACACTGATGCAGCTCTAGTGGGAAGTTCTCCCGCACCCAGCGTATTCACCAGACTTAGCTCCTTCGGACTATTACTTGTTCCGGTCGATGCAGCACGGCTTGGTGGATACACACTTCAGAAATTACGAGGATGTGCGAAAATGGATCGACGAATGGATTGCATCAAAAGACCAATCGTTCTATCGTCGC